ATGATCCATCAAATGTCAAACTCCTTGTGAATGAGTCCGTCGATGGTGATAATGACAGTGACCCATCAAGCGACAAACTCGCTGCAGATGAACTAGCAGAAACATCGTCACTCAGCATTGGCCCGAGTTCATCATTCTTGACAACCACTCCATTTCCGTTTCTTCGTTCGTTCTCGCATTCAAAAGTGTACTGCGGCTGGGAAGTAATAAAGCCGCTGTCGACTCTGAGATTCGTTTCTGGGCAGTACGGAGACAGTTGCATCGTATCAAATGTTGCCACTTTTGTGCTTGGAGAGAGATGTGTAAACGTAGTGGTAAAAGCAGAAATGAACACTACCAGTCTGGAAGTTCCAGGAGCAACTCGCAAATGATGAGAGCTTACCACACTACCTAGAGTTATTATAAGTTAATGTCATTCACTGAATGGATATCTAGTTGAACCCAATCATTTAAAGTTTATAATCCTATTGTAACCAGGCTCGAATATCGTCATGGATCGAAAAGTGTGTGTGATGAGTCGGCCTTTCGGTATAGTTATTTGAATACTTTACTTTACTTGCATCAGTTCAGAAAGCCGTAGTCTTTGAAATGGCGAACCAATGTGAACATACCTAGCCAGCATAGCACACTACAAGTCCATCGCGTACAGGATACATCTCCAACATTACGAAAGACGGGCTCAATATAGAACCATCTAATTGATCAGGCTTCTACTGTATAGGTACATAAAACTCAAATAGAATACCAAACTACCCCTTGAAATGTGCGAACTCACTGCGACCGAGAGATTCCCTTGTTCTTGGCGGAGTAGGGCGAGCTAACATTATAGACAATTTGCGCTACAACTGCTCGCAGAAATGGAGCTTCTCGAAACTTGCACTAGTGGGAATCACAACGATGTCGAAGAAGCTCTGGCGAAAAACTGCGACGTGGAGATTAAGAATGAAGACAGATGGACACCACTTATCGTGGCAGCGAGTTTCAATTTTGATCGCGTTGTGGAGAACTTCATTATGGCGCGAATATTGACGCAAGGACACCTCGAGGCTCATCGGCTTTGAACGTTGCAACGTCTAAAGGGTATCTTGAAGCAGCTCGAATTTTATTAGCTGCTAGCGCATCGATCGATATCCCTGGCTACGATAACTACACTCCGCTTTTAGCTGCTGCTTTCAATGGGCATTTGATTACGGTGGAGCTTCTTATCCAACACAAAGCTACTATTGACCTGCCAGCGGCCAATGGTTGCACAGCTCTGGGAATTGCATGTGATCACGGCGAGAACGAGATAGCGTCTATGCTTTTGAACGCTGGTGTCAAAGTGGATTATCTGGATAACCATGGCTGGAGCCCTCTCTGCAGTGCTTTAAAGGGCCATGAATTTATCGTCAATACTAAAGGATATGGGGGTGCGACGGCATTACGAATTGCTGCAGAGCACGGGAATTTCGAGGTTGTAAGGATGCTGGTTGAGCCCAGGGATGACTAGACCACTCCACTACTTATCGCTCCAAGAATGGTTTTGAGAAAATTGTGCAGTACCTGGTATACAGTGGTGCAGACCCCAACAAGCTGGATACCTTAGGCCCTTATTGCAGCGGCAACGTATAACCACCTCGAGCCACTCCGCATCCTGTTAGACTGTGAGGCCGATGTGAACGTGACCAGTTATGGCGGTTGAACTGTGCTATCGATGGCATACTTCAGTGGCTACAATGAGCTCCTTAGCTGATTTTGGAAAGAAGACCCGTGGAAATGAAAGACATCGTTTGTGGACTCAACTGAGGATCTCTTTAGCAGCTTAACATGCTTTAACTTTACTTCGCAGTATTAATACTTGTTATTAGACGTGAACTAATTTTTTTAATGCTTTCCATGGTGTTGTTGGTAATTGTTGCTGCACGGTTAAATTTGCTTGGCATTAATTTCACTCGCGACACTATAGTCGGTCTTTCGCCAAGTCATTATTTCGGCAGCTTCGCAATCTAAGACTCATCATCAGTGTCGGTCTTCTCACTGTCGTAAACCTAAATAAATTATTTACCACACCCAACCATTAGTACCCAAAGTGTTCTTAATTGGCCTCGCAGATTACTTACCGTGGCTTCAGCACAAGCAGCCCGTATTTCAAATAGCGTTACTGTTTCGTTCATTCCCTCGCTTAAATCGTTCAGTAAATCTGCGATGCTGCGTGTAAAGTCTTCACATCGGGTTGTCCGCTCAGTGGGTGTTGCCACTTGTGTACGAAAAGTTGTACTCTTTCCACAAAGTGCGCGACGCGAGCGGCGGACCGCAATCACAAATTCCTGCATGTACCGCTTGATTTCGTCCACGAGCTCACGCAAGCACAATACTCCAAATCTTTCAGAAAGTCCTAGCTCAAGGTGCGTCGGGTACGCGGCCCGAATATCAACTGCAACAGAATG